ATCCAAAAAGTATATGGCCAGAAAAGGAAGCAGGTTGGTAATGTAGCAAGAGTATAGGCTAACTAACTGATAGTCCATGTGCCTGCTGGAACAAACGCAGTGTCAAGAGATCTTGAGGAAGGAATGAATATAGCACACTCAGTGGACCCCCTGTGGAAAGTTTATAGTAGGACGTGAACGAGAGTCACACAGGATGGAAAGGAATGGATGGCTGGTAATCTTTGAGGGATTACCTGCATTGATGAAATCACAGACCAACTGAAGATCTTGGAATTTAGGAGAGCTTTCTGGAATGATAAAAATTACCTAGGTCTCTTGAAAAATCTTTCCAAGGAAGTCTGAACTGGTACCTCTTGTTAATCTTGATACATTTCTCTATAGCAAGTAAAGACATTAAAAAACCAGTTCACTAATCTTATAACAATACTCAAAGGAGAAGGTTCACTAAATGTTTGTTGTTGATGATGACTGTCACTTCTACTAATGAGCATTTTTAAAAGTAAAAGTTGATCCAAAAATCAATTTCCTTTACCTTCTGCTACTACTTCAGTTTACTTATAGCTACATATGTTGGTTTGGACTTCTCTGAGCCAAAGTTTCTTCATTTGCTGAATGAAGGATTAAGTTTCACAACCAAATTCTATGATCTTATGTTGCTGTGATTACATATGCAAGGTGAGAGAGAAAGAATAAAAAATAATCCTAAAGTTACAAATAGGGAAAACTAGGTGAATGGTGGTACAACTGAATGAAATAGTGAAGTCAGAACAAGGAACAGGTTCAGCGAAGAAAATAATGAACTTTTGTTTCTGTTATACCTGGGACATTGGGAGGACATCTAGGTGGAAATGTCCTAAGGACGGTAGGAGAAGTAGGGAGGTAAGTATAGATTAGAAGACTGTACAGACTAGAGAGCTAGATATGGGTGTTATTTATTTGCCTAATGGTGGTAGTTAAAGCCAAAGGTGCAAATGACATTACCATGGCACCTTTAGACAAAAAAAGAACAGAAGCTTTTGGAATGTCCACATTGTTATATAGGAATAATAAGCCAGTTAAAGAGACAAAGAGGGAGATCAGGGAGACTGGTGAATCAATAGAGTATGGTCTCTGAAACCAATGAAAAAGAGAGTATCCAGTAATAGGGGGTAGTCAACAGTATAAAAGGATTGGGGAAAAAACCCAACCACCTGGATTTGGTTATCAGGAGGTTTCTGGTGACCTTAGAAAAAGCAGTCAGTACATGAGCATTTTTTGAGTGCTAATTTTATGTGCCATGCTAAGGTGCTGGAGATGCAAAGTAAGGAAAAAAAACATAGTTCCTGCCCTCAAGGAGCTTATATTCTAATGCAGACTACAAGCAAATATGGAGTTTCAGTAGTATCAAGACTTGACTGCAACGGGTCAAGGTGAGAGTGAATATTAAATAAGTAGAGGCATCAGGTGTTGGCATCATTATGGACAAATACAGAACTGAAGGTAGGATGGAAGAGAAATGCTAAGGATTGGCTTTTTTGGGGGGAGGGGAAGAGAAAACCTCAACATATTTGTTGGCTAGATGCAAATGTGCCATGAAAAGGAAAGAATGACTGTTGGAACAAGGTGCTAGAGAGTCATGAGGGAATGGTATCAAAAGCTGAAGGATTAATTTTGGTGAATAGCTGGAACCTCTCTTCTATAATCTGTGGGAAGGATAAGTTGGTGCTGACAAAGAGGGTTTACACAAAGGGAGCAGGAGCTGAGAACACTCACTCACATTGGAAGTAGGAATCTTAAGTCATTTTGTTTAGGTGTGCGTATGGGGAGTGGAATACATTTTTTTTAAGGCAACTGGGGTTAAGTGACTTGCTCAGGGTCACACAGCTAGTAAGTGTCAACTGTTTGGTCTGAGGCTGGATTTGAACTCAGGTCCTCCTGACTTCAGGGCCAGTGATCTATCTACTTCGCCACCTAGTTGCCCCAATTTTTTTTTCTCAACAATTAATTATCTGGTGGGGCAACGGGGTTAAGTGACTTGCCCAGGGTCACACAGCTAGCAAGTATTATGTGTCTGATGAAGATTTGAACTCAGGTCCTCCAGACTCCAGGGCAGATGCTCTATCCACTGCACCACCTAGCTACTCCGAGAGTGGAATACATTTGCAGTCACTGTAAAGAATAAGATAAGGAACCCAAAGACAGATCCCGATTTCTGCCAGAATGATGGATAAAGGGTTTGTAAACTGAGGTATGGGTGGTACTCAGGTAGGAAAGAAAGAATGGAGAGTGGTAATGACCCCAAAATGGGAAAGGTGAGGGTTCCCTGAATAACAGCTAGAAAAAACATCTGTCAAGAATTAGATTCTATTTTGTGAGGTGGAATAAACAAACGAGACCCTTTCAGAAGGCCACCTTTCCAACAAAGTAAGCTTTTGTAGTGTTAACAACAAGTTCTTCCTTTCTTCAATATGAAAGAAAGTGACATTTAGTAGGCAGGTATGAGTAAGCTTCTTAGAGTTACTTAGCATATGAAAAGAATATAATTATACTTCCTAGTTGTTTTTGAAAAAAAGAAACAGCATGAAATCAGATAGTGACAGTTTGCAATGGATTTTTAAAATGGAACCTATTAAATGAATATTATCCTGAAAATGATTTCAATAACCAGATACAACAGTCATATATGAATTTTTTCACTCACCGTCATAAAGAATATAAGGTACATAATTTTATCTATATGAAAATACATCATTCATGAGGATGAAAAGTACAAAACTTTTCTCATTTAACTTCACCGGAAGGTACTCTAAAACATGCTATCAAATATTATTTCTTGAACTACAGTCAAGAGACGTAACATACTTCTGTTACCAACTATATAGCTTTGGGCGAATCACTTTAAGCAATCAAGCACTTTATGATTGCTTAATTCATGCAAAGTACTGTGTTTGATGCTAGGGATCAAGAAGTGTAAGATGTGGTCTCTGCCTCTAAGGAGCTTATAATCTATTCAGGAAGACAGAGCCTCTACATAAAAAGATAATTAACAATGTAAGTCGTGAGAAGTGCCAAGTTTGTAGTATAGACACTATGTGCTATAGGACTTCAGTGCAGAGGGAAATCCCAGCTGGTTGGGCTGGTCAGGAAAAGCTTCTCAGAGATAGGCCTTGAACTTTACCATCCTTTTCCCCACCCTTTCACCCCCAAATGTCTCACTCATACTCTGCAACCCTCAATTCAGGCTATGCTATATGAAGCAGTATGGTATAGCAGAAAGGACTCTGAAGTAGATAACGTAAGTTTTGGGGTTCAAAGTCCTAATTCTGCCAGTAACTAGCTATGTAACTTTCGGCAAGTTATTTTACCTCTAAGGGCCTCAGTTTCCTCATCTATCAAATGACGGAGTTGGACTAGGTAATATTTCACATCCTTTCCATGTCTATCATACAACGAATTATCACAAAGTCTACTGTGGTAAGGCTCCAAGGATGAGGTTTTCACCATATAAGTTGGCTGATTTTTTCCAGTGACGTACATTGCCAACGGCAAAACACTTCATTAATTTTCTCAATTCTAAGACAGATGATGCTAAGTGGCTACAAACACACACTTGAAGGAAATGCATGCTGCCAAACCACATTCCATTAATATCTTTTTCCTTCTCATATTTCATACTATTTGCTTTAATGTCAAAGAAGAAAAATCAATTACTATTATGACAGTCTGGAGGACAATAATTTATGAAAATGACTTTATTATATGTTGCAGAGTCAATGATCTCATTAAGATCTTGGCCATATAGCTGGCTGGCCGGCTTAGCAAGGGATATTCCCAAGCAAGAGTTAAATTCCAAAATGGCATGCTAAATGCCAATCCATTCTCTGTGCCAGGAGTAGAGAGCATGGTTCATGGGTTGAGTGCCTAACCAGATGATCCTATTGATAATGGTTTGGTCGTGATACCTTAGAATAATCTTCTACACCAGATAGGTAGGGTCCTTAGGGTGGTGGGAATTGACAATCTGGACTGGGGAGTAAGGTGGACTGGATTCTCCCCTTCCCCCTCACTGTAATTTTCGCTATTTTCCATCACCTCCTATGCCACCTTTGGTGTGAGTGCTATATATACACATAAAAACAAAAAGAAAATGGATGGCAACTCCTCTAAATGAGATTCTTCACTTTCTTGCCAATATATGGCTCAAATCATGTCTAATTTTTTTTTTTGTGAGGCAGTTGGGGTTAAGTGACTTGCCCAGGGTCACACAGCCAGTAAGTGTCAAGTGTCTGGTCTGAGACCACATCTGAACTCAGGTCATCCTGACTCCAGGGCTGGTGCTCTATCTACTGCACCACCAACTGCCTTCTAAAATTTTTAAGGAAGGATTTCACAAAACAACTTATGCAAATGGAAGCAAGACAGTAAAAAGAGTAGTGCATTTGGAGTCACAGGGCTTGAGTTCAAATCTCAGCTGTACAATTTTGGGCAAGATACTCGACCTCTCTGGGTCTCCCGTTGTCTCACTTGTGAAGTGAAGCAGTTGAACTACCTGGTCTCTAAGTCCTATGCAGTTTTAAATAAGTTAAGATTTTTAAAAAGTACACACGAGATACTATCTTTATAACATGCAAACCAGATTGGGCTAAGGGCAGATTTTCAACAGCATTGGAACTGAAACAATGTTAAGCAACTAAAAAGGGGCAACATTTAGAGAGTAAACTGAAATAAGTCTGCTTTGTTCCTTCTCCCTACAGTGGAAATCTACATTCTTTAGCTAAAAAAGAAAGCCTCATCTGTGCTTCCCTTCCCTACTCTCTTGTGGCCAGAACTATGAGTTTCTAGGAAAATGCTTAGGAATGTGTGTGACTAGCACCATCCCTAAACACGGCTACAAACTCTGAGGGAATGGTCAAGTATTCAGCATCGCTCTGATGTGGAGAAAGCCCATTTGTTAATTTTTTTTTTCTATTTAGAATTAAATGCTAAGAATAAAGGAAATGTAAAAATATTTTAATACTTACTGGCATGGTTTTGTCTCCAAAGAAATAGATTTTCTTATAACCATCATTTTCAACAAGTGTCAGACAGTACCTTTTATCCCATCCATTAGGAAATACATCAAAGCTTATTTGGCCTCCTGCACAAAAGACAAACAAAAAGGTGGAAAAAGAGTCATTGACAGTAATCTTTAAACAACATATAATTTACTATTCTAGAGCACCTAAAAGTACCAGATTTGATTTTTCCAATATTCTACTTTGCCACTTTTACTCTGACGAATGTGATTTAATATTTTGATTTAAAATCCCAATTTTCACAAATCTGTCACTTGCTTGGCATTTATTTGGGTCTCAATGAGGTAGGGTCAACTCAGGAAATGAAATGTATTTGTATTTAACAGCTGTCAAGCAAGTCGACAGCAAATGAAGTGTATTTATAACAAATGGGATAACAATGACACTGAACTGAGCATACCCTGAGGCTTACACACTTCAAGTTGCAGATGGCTTGTAGGGAGGTTTTATAACCAGCTTAAATTGTCATAGAAATGAAAACCAAATCATAATTTTTTAAAATCAGGAGACACAAAAATACGTCATAAAAAGGTTCAACTTACTGGTGTGAGAATACTTAAGTACCAATCTATTCAATTGTGATCCCTATCTCTAGCACTGTTAACTTAGAATACTAAAGGGAGAGAGAGATAAGTAATGACTAATCAGCATGACAGGAGAAAATAGCATATTTAAAGAAGCTGGCATTTTTATTCCACTTAAAACCAAGTGTTTTTTCTGACTTGCTCCAATCTCTCTTTTAGGATTCAATCAGGTTCTGGTAGTTTGACCAAAGATGGGGTAGCAAACCAGTACTCATAAGCTTTGCTCAAAGCAACCCCATAAATGAGAACTTTGGCTTCCTGCTTCTTTGGGGGAAGGAACAAAGGAGTGCAAAGGACTTGGGTGGAAAAAGGAGAAGGAAGGGTTTGGACTAGTGATGTAGGTTAGAAGTTGAATCTGGGGAGAAATGGAAGAACATTTGAAGGAGAAGAATTTTTAAATCCAGATTCTGCTCCAGATTCAACTTCTTAAGTTGTAAGAAAGCAAATCAAGGATAATTAAGGAAAATATACAAGTATTCAGAAGGCTAACAGGAGAATTAAGTAGTGAAATGTGAAGGGGTAGTCTCAAAATGACTTAAGAAGGTAATTGGCAAAACAAGGCAAGTCAAGGAGAGGATAAAAAGGCAAATGGAATAAACAGAAGATTAAGTAAATCGGCAGAGTGGATTGGAGACAGAATAAATGAGCACTAAAAGGTTTTAACCAGGTGCTTAGGGATTTATAAGGATTCACCAAGTAGTTTCAAGACAACCATTACAGAGAGTTGGAGAAATCATGCAGTGACTTGTACTGAGTGTTTGCCTTTTGTTTTCTGTCACAATAGAGTGACTTATCTGTGTTCCTAGTGTAGGCTGACTTTCCTCCTGGAGAAGGTGAGGAGGCTGGGAGAATACCTCTCCACACTCCAGGTTGTTTGGGAGGATAAAGCATTCTTAAAGGAGACAGAAGGGTTCAATGGGAATAAAAAAGTTCTGATGTGGAGGGCTTGGGGGGCTGACCCTTGTCAGGATGATGGAGAATGGAAGAGGGTTACACAGAAGAGAAAGGGAAGGAAAGGGGCACTGTATAACTAGACCTTAAATACAGATTTAAAAACAGCTCTTTTTAAAGACGAATGAACTAGATGCTGAGGTACAAAGAAGCTGCTTTCCTGTAAGCATGACAGAGCAGTCACAGAATCTATCAAGTGAGAGATCACCCAATAAGAGATAGAGGAAGAAGAGAAGAATAGTAGTAGTTGGTGATTTCCTGTTTGGGAGTACTGAGCTCCTATTTGTTGACCTGAAAACAATCAAGAGGCCTGTTGTTTTTCTGGGCGTGAATCTAAGACATACAGAGAGCTTTCTGAGACTTATCAAAAATAGATGATTACCATCCATTCTAGTGATTCACATGGGCACAGATGACAAGTCCAGAAGGAAACTAAAAAGTATTACTAACAATTATGAGATGTTGGGCAAGAAACTGAAGACCCCAAGAGCACAGGTTGTTTCCTCCTCATTTTTGCTATTAAAGAAATGCGGTGCAGAAAAGAATAATCAATTTGAGAAGTGAATAGCTTGGTAAAAAGGCATTAGTCTGAGGATGGGATTTAGATTTCTAGGTCAAGCAGCACAATATAAGGCCAAAATATTCCTGGCCAGAGATGGAGCATACTGAACAGCAGCTGAAAAGAATGCATTTGCTAGGTATCTTGAAAATCTACATGTAGTAGCAACAAAGAGAAAAATAACACCTGAGCTACTCACAAATCCACAGGAGACAAAATCCCAGAAAAGAGTCATTGGTAAAGCCCATGGCCTCAAGCATCTATACACGAAAGCCCTAAGATTAGGCAACAAACAGGGAGAGGCTAGAAGTCCTAATGCCCAGAGACAAAAATGACCTAATAAGCATCACTGAGGCCTGAGGCTTGGTGGGATGATACCCATATAACAGGATTATGGTACACACACACACACACACACACACACACACACACACACACACACACACACACACACACACACACACACACACACAGTATTTGGGTGAAAGTCAAAGGAAGGAGAAAGTGAAGTGATTTTGTCATTGGTGTATACTACTGATCACCAGGACAGAAAAAGAGGGAATAAATGAGGAGTTTAAAATAGAGACTAGACCTTTTTCAGCACGGGCCCAGGGTTAGATGGGGAAAGAAGGAAAGGGGTTAGGGGTTGGGGTTGGGGAGGTGGGGTGGGGTGGCTGGCTTCCAGGGCTTGTGCTCTACTAGCATAACTTCTGAGAATTTTGGAAGTGAGAGAGAGTCACTTCAGGATGAGGCATCAGAGTAAGGTTTTGAGCAAAGTTTCTGTAAAATGGGGATATTAATTCTTGCCCTGCTGGAGAAGCTGGTACAAGTGGGAAAAGTACTGGAGGGAAAATCACTTTGTCTCTGGAGCCAGCGGACCTCGGTTCAAATCCTATCTTTGCCACTTACTGATCTTGGGCTTTACTTACCTCTGAATTTCCTTCATCTGTAAAGTTATGAGGTTGGACTAGATGTCCTCTAAAATCCCTTGCAATTCTAAATCTATGATTCTACATCATGGTTTTGTTTTTTTTTTGGAGGAACAAATAAGATAATGAATGACAGTGTTAAAAAAACAAAAGCAAACCACAAAACATTACACAATTTTGACATAGTATCCTTAGAAGGAAGGGTTTGAGCATATAGTCTATGAAGAAAAGTCCAAAGAGATGCAAAGACAACCAGATGGGAACAAAAAAAGGAAATGGTCAGGTGCTTCTACTTTAAACTGATAAATACACATATACACACATTTTTATATTTAATTCAAAGAAAGAGAAAGAGTCGCTTCTGCTTTATTAATGGAAAGACTCTCAAGTTAAAAGCACTTCACATCTCTGTGGCAGAAAGAATATCATTTTTGTTACTACTTGTGTCCAATCAGGTAATTGTTAATCTGATTCCAAACACTCCAATCTTTGACACCTACTCATTCAATAAACTAGATCTATGAGTAGCTTTTTGAGGAATAACTGTGAAACATACAGGTCTGGCACAAAGGAATGTAGTGATTGGGAACTTCAATTATCCAGACTTCTGCTAGAGCTTTAGCTCGGACAAAAAGCAGAACAATTAATATCTTCTTTATTGAGCTTAGTGATAATTTCATCCTTCAAAAACAGTAGAGCACTCAACAAAGGGAAATTCTATTCTGGGTCTGATTCTTATTAACAGTAAGGAACTGTTGGGATGCAAATGGTGGGGACCCTCAGGTGAGTGACTTTTCCTAAATCTTTCCTAAAGATTATGATCAAGAAGAACAGTCTGACATACATCCTAGATTTGGGGAAAGATGATTTCAAGGGATTCAGAGAAGAGATAGGTGGGATCTCATGGACTAAAATGCTTCAGGTACCTGAGTATGAAATATATGAAACACTACCAGAAACAATTCAAATGAGGAGAAAAGAATGGGATTTCTCAAAAAAGACAGATGCGGATGGACCGTGAACTCATGAATCAACTCAGATTTTTAAAAAAATGTACAGAAGATGGAAGTGAGACTAAATAACAAGATGAATATAAGAGGGTAGGAATACTAAAGCTCAGAATGAGGTGAGGCTGGCAATGGAAGATAAAGACAACAAAAAAGGGATTACAGCTTTGCTTTAAGTGGATGGGATGATAATTAACAGCTAACATCTATATAGTGCTTTAAGGCTGCCAAGTGTTTTACATATGTTATTTCATTTGATCCTCACAACAACCCTGTAAAGTTGGTACCATTATTATTCCCATTTTGCAGATGAGAAAACTAAGGCTAGTGGAGAGATTAAGAGACAGGCTTGCCTAAGGTCACACAGCTAGTTAAGTGTCAGAGGCAAGATTCAAACTCTGGTCTTCTTGATTCCCAAATCCAGAATTTTCTATCCACTACACTAGAGGTATTAAACACACAGGCTGCATGTGGCTCAAAACACTCCTGAAACTCCTCAAAACACCACTTCAAAATGTAATTGGGAAACATTTAACAAAATGGATCCTAATGTATGGCTTGGTGGCCCTGTTCCCATTTGAGCATTGCATTATACCCCCTAGTCACTCCAGATGACTAAAGAGAAGGTAGAGCTGCTCAAATCTTATTTTGTTTCTATTTCCTCTGCAAAGGAAAGCTAATTTTATACTGGAAATAACAGAATAAAAATAACTAACAGTGAACTTACCATTGAGATAAGCAAAGAGACAGACAATGAGGAAGTACCTACCTGCCCTTTCAAGTTACCTGCTCCAGATTTGGGTCCAGAATTTACTGGGATAAGTGACTGCTCAGTCAATGTCAGTGGTGTTTTAAAGATAGTGGAAAATGGGAAAGGTACAAGATTGGAGGACAAATGTCATGACTCTTCAAAAAGGAAAGAAGACTACTCTTTGATTTCTCCTTTCAGTTGGAAATTTTTACATGCTAAAATCCTCTTAACCTAAAGCTTAAAGTTTAAGCCAATTCTGGCCTCACCTCAAAGGTATAATTATCAATGACATGATTTCCCTTCTTTATTTTCTCCCCTCTTCAAATCACTCAACACTTTTGGCAGTCATTGGATCATGGGCTCAGAGTTGGACTGGGCCTCAAAAGCAATTTATTTCAATTCTTCATTTGACAGATAACAAAACTAGAGTCAAGGGAGGTTATATGACTTGGCCAAGGTGACAGTGGTAGTAAGCATCAAAAGTGGGATGTGAACCTTTCTTTCTCAGAGTCCATCTGGCCATGTCCTTTCTCTAATTAAATCTTTTCAATGGCTCTCTACTGTCTACTGAGTAAAGTTCAAAATTCTTTTGCCTGGCACTCAAAGTCTTCTGTAATCTGGTGCTGACCTATTGTTTTACCCTTATTTCCTAATACTTCCCTACACGTATTCCACACTTTGGTCAAAATGGACTGCTTGCTGCCCCTCATGAAATCCTGCATTTCCCAGTTTCTGTCCTTTTGTTCACACTGTTACCTATCCCTGAGATTTTTATTTCCTGGATTTAGGAAAATATGAGTTTCCGTACTTTGATCTGCTGAATTTTTACCTCTCCTGAATTTATACCTGTGGTATAAAAGCAAAAAAAAAAAAAAAGAATTTCCTTTTCTCTGATAAATCCCAATTTAAATTTACCTCTTCCTGTAAGCCATCCCTGACATCTCCAGTGGGTAACATTACCTTTCTTTCCTAATATTTCTATTCTGCACCTCTCTTATGGACTTATTTCAAAAGATTCTCAGTTCCTCTGGTACAGGTCCTTTTTCTCCCTGACAAGTCACTACCCCATCCATGCCTCAGTACAAAGTTTTCTGTGTTGTGACTGCCAAAAATATTTAGCACCTGGTGACCAACCTCTAGTGACGGTGTTTCTGAATTTGGCTGAGCTGTTTCTTGGACAATGCTCTAATGGCAGGCCCATGCTTATTTCCAGCGGAGTAGTATCCGATAGTTTGCATTCTATGGATTTGAACCTAAGGTAAAGGTTCTTAGCTAACCTTTTTGGTGTAAGGAATTATTTTGGCAGTCTGATAAAGCCTATGAATTTCTTCTTGAAATCATGTTTTCAAATGCATAAAAAAACCCCACAGGATTGCAAAGGAAGCCAATTATACTGAAATACAGGATCCTATCACATATGATTACATATAATAAGACTTGTTTCAATACTTCATGGATCTGTGACTTCATCTGTTTGAGTATTTCCTCTGATATAAATTCCTCTACTACCTGATCTTTGAAGATTGCTTTGAATGAAAAATTCATCATCCTGTACCCAACCTGGTGATAAGGCTTTCTAAACTCGCCAGGTCAGTCCTTGGATGATGGGAAAGGGTCCATAATTACAGTTGTTCTAACTTGTCGGCATCTATCAGAGTTTGTGGTCAGCTGGCATTATATGAAAGAGTCCACTTCAATGACATAATGAAGCAATGAAGCAGGACTCTGGTGGAGGTTCATGTGGTTTTATAATATGCTACAGTGTATTTTAGTTACCTGTGTATATGTCATATCCTCCTACTAGATTGCAAAATTCATTAGGCTTGGAATGGTGACTTGTACTTCAACTGGCATCTAGACCACTGCTCTACACATAACTGAGGCTTAACAAATATTTACAGAATTCAACAAGATCTGGTAAAGGGTATCAACATCCCAAACAGGATTTACAACAGGAAATACCTATAGAAAATGTAAGCCCCTTTCCATCAAATGTTTTCTGCAGATCACTCACAAATTTCTGCCTTATATTTTCTTTCTGTGGAGAAAAAACAAAGAGACATCAGTTACTAACCAAACTTGATTTTAGAAATGTAATTAAAAGAACAAATATTTTTCCTTATTTTATTCTTGGTAATGAAGTAATGCACCTTAGCTCACTTTTGTAAATATAATAGTTGGCCAAGGACTTTTAGGAAAGACTTACTTTATCTAGTTCATAAAATTCAAGTCGTTCTTCCTGGCTGCAGCTTCTTCCAATAGGAGACACATTTAACATCCCATTTCGGAATTCAATGAAAGTGCCCCTGAAGAGAGAGATAAACTAGAGGAAAGGTTCACTAAGAAATAATGATTTGAGCATTTTCTAATTGCATAAACAGAGGCTGAGATGTTGGGTAACTTGAAAAAAGTCAGAATCTTCATGTTAGATGAAATGAGAATACATGTCTTCAAGACACAAGTCAATGTCAAACAACTATCATGGAAAAACATTCACTTTTTTTTTTGCCCTTTTTGGTGAGGCAGTTGGGGTTAAGTGACTTGCCCAGGATCACACAGCTAGTGTCAAGTGTCTGAGGCCACATCTGAACTCAGTTCCTCCTGACTCCAAGGCTAGAGCTCTACCCACTGAGCCACCTAGCTGCCCCTCAAACAACTTTCAATTACAGATTTATGTTCAAGTACTATGTTTGCAAAATAGCAACACAGAACTTTGCTGAAAAGTGCTATGTAAACAAACAGTAATACTACTGATATCACTACAAATAATAGTAATAAATATTTGAATAAAAGAATATATATTAATATGCCTATACTGTGGAGTTTAGTTCCAGATGGCTACTTTGTAAGAGAGACTTTAGATACACTGCTTTTACTAGAAATGCAGTGCAAAAACATTCTTAGAACTGTCCTCTAAGCTCTGGTGATAAGTAAGAAAACCAAAACACTCAGGGAGAGATTAATTCTAAATTATAGTTTTAAAGTTTTACAAAAAATCATTTCATAAACAGTAAATTCTTTATGATACCAGACTGAGTTTTCCAGGAAATATCCTGAATTTACCCTGAAACAAGGATAAGAAGTAATTCTTCTGTATTTTTAAATTCCCACTTTGAAAAACAGTTTAGTTTCAGAATGTTAGGTTTCAGAATTATCAAAATATAGCGTCCTCCACAATCCAATAACATATAAGCCAGATTTCTATTTCATGAAATGAATATTAGTCTATGATGAAATGTAGTAATTCCCAACAGGAACCTCTTTTTATTTTTATCTTGGTCTAATTTGTAGTCTAACTAAACTGAACCTTTAAGTGTTGCCACCAGCCTCTTATAAGAACAGCTGAACCTTAACTAACCATAAATCACCTAATGAGAACTCTCAATTAAACAGATCATCTTCTCCTCTGCACTTAGAAAATAAGCCTCATTTAAGACGTAGTGATAAAAACCAACTCCAGACATTTAGCCCACTCATCTATACCTATAGTAATGTTCGTAATGATAATTATAAAGCCTTATAAGATCCTAAATTATCAAAGGGAGATTAAAAAATTTGAAAATAATTTATGTACTGCATAGTTTATTTTTTAAGACAGAAAGGAATGCTGATACATTTCAGAAAAGTTTTTAGCAAGGTTTTGAAAAAAGGATATCTCAATTTGTCAATTCAAACAGTCCATTTTCTGAACTTTGTGATTTTTACTTATATATAGATTTTTATGTAAAAAAATCTATAGATGCATAGATTTTTTTATCTATAAAGAATCATTTTGAGCATATCTTAACCTTTGGTTCTAGAGACCATAAAAAGCTGGATTCTCAATGTTGCTGCCTAGATCACTAAATTACTACTTTATTCTGTGATGAGAGGTGGTGTGGTGTGGCAGATAGAAAGCTGGCCTCCAAGTTATGATGACTTATTTCAAGTTTCATCTCTGACATACTAGCTGTGTGACCCTGGGAAAGTCACTTAACCTCTCAGTGGTCTAGGCAACTTTCTAAGACATGAAATTGCACAAAAAGAACCAACTTGCCTATATTAGTAGAGGAAGTTCTCTCTACCAAAAAAAAAATCATAGGTCTAGGTTCAGTTCCTAACACCCTTACCATTCTGGGATATATTTCATCTGAGAAGGCCTTTGTTCATTGACCAGAGTAATTTACAGGCTCCCCTTCTACCTTTTAATAGTCTGAATTTGTTCCAACAGTATAGTATGTCCTCAAACCCAAGTGGCAGTTTTCTGATTAAAATTAATACTAAGTCCACTAATAATACCAGCATCTAAGACATCAGATCTTTATGACAGATGGAGGATATGTATCTTGATTATGCTAATAAGGATATCTACCCACCTCTTCTTTGGCAGCTTAATCTTGGCAATGTAACTCAGACAATAGTTGATTAAATCTTGGATTAGGTCTTCACCCAGATGACCCTGAATATTCTAAACGAACAAAACACTTTGGAGTTACCAGATTGAGTATGATACATTTCCCAAATGGCTTTCCAATCAACAATCATATGAGGCAAATATGTACTAGATTAAGACATGTCATTACCTTCTTTATTTTTCCTTCCTTTAGTTTTCCCATGATTAAACAAAGTTGGGTTAATCAGAACAGTGAGTTTAGTAATCAAATGTGTTTTCTGCTTCATTACTCTGGATTCTGTTTTCATGGGCTCGCAAATGCAAATAAAACCCAGAGACTTACACCTTCTTAGATTGTATTCAGTTAAAACTCCCAATGAAATCAAAGATGAAGCAGGTTACAATACACACTGTCAAACAGCTCCCAGAATCCAAGTACAACATACTACCACTTTTTCCAAAAATTGTCATTTTTAAAGATCTACTTGTTGCTGTAGGTATTTGTGCTAAGAAAGACTACAACACTAAAAACTCATTAGGATATACCATTTAAAGTCAGAACTTGGATTTCCTACCCTATTTCCAAAGCATGGCTATCATATCAAATTTTATTTTAGAAATTGTTACTATAACAACGTAAAAAATATTTTGGAGACTCTGAAACAGACCTACCTGCTTACACAGAAATTTGCCATCTTTGTATGCTACCAAACCATTTTCTGGAAAGACGTAATCATATTTTTCAAGCACTAAAAATAAAAACGAGTAGCAAATCATAATGCAACTTATATGTTTCTATTCAAGATTGATTTTTTAAAAAATTACAAGTGATGTGATAAAAAGAACATCAGCCTAGGAATTAGGAGACTTGGCATGGAGTTTGGGTTCTGTCATTTGCTATGTGAAGTTGGGCAAGTCAGTTCATGCCTCTGCATCTGTTTCCTCATCTGTGATGAGGTTAGACTTGCTGATGTTGATAGCTTTAAAATTCTGTGATTACATGGTAATCCATTCCCTAACAGTACAGGTTTTACCCTATTACATGGCACCTGAACACAACACCCCCCTGTGGTGGCAGTCCTAGAAGATGCTAAGACTGTTTTTCTGTAACTAGTCTGGGATAAGAGAGGGAGAAGGAAGAATATCGATGACCAGACAATGCAACTGAATAAATTGTCATTTAAGAGATTTAAAGCATCTGAGAATACAATAAGAAACACTAGACAATGGGGAAAATAGTCATTTACAGGAGATATATAATATTTGATCCTCAACATCTATAAACCAAAAAAAAAATACAACTTGCACATTAAAATATAATTTGGAAAGTAAATTATTATATTTAAAAGTATGGTCTCTAATTCTAAGTAGGCTAGGGCCAACAGTAATTCAAATTATGCCCAATATGTTGTTATTTTAAGGTGATTCTACTAATATTTGGGCACCAAGTTTACTTACCTGCTGACAGTTCCAGTTATTTATAAGATAAGCTATTTGGTAAACAAGGAAACAGGAATCCACCATATGGGAGGTCCAGGCTTAGAGCTGTATATGACTTAATAGTTTTTAACGTCATAATTTTCTGAAAAGAAGTTAATATTTTACTAGACAGTAATCACTTTTTACCATTGTCTCCCAGCTGTTCCTGTACTTTCTCAAAGTCTGAGCCTCCAACTACTCCAATTTTTATCTTCTGCCTCAATTTTTGCAGAAAGTCATCCATTTCTTTGGTGATTTTCTGTATATTTAAAAGAGACAAACCAATTAAACACAATATGGCCATAAAATTAAAATTAAAGAATTTATAACTATGTCTTTTTAGGCCCAGATGACTTTATTGTGGATTGGTAAAATCAGAGCATTTAGGATTAACTAGCAAGCCTGGATCAAGTCATCTAACAGTGCCATAAAGGAGAAGAAAGTTTACAATTGCAATGGTGAAAGGGTTTCCTTCCTGTTTGATGGGCTCAAGTCAAATATTTTCATTTCAATTATAAGTACTTCAATGTTTCTTGCTGCTCAAATAGTCAAATCAAGTTACCTAAAACCCTAAACCAAAACAAAATAATAAGAAAGAAAAATTCACTCATATCCACATTAATGTGCAACAAAATGACTTTAGAACAAGTATATTTTTTATCAATAATATTTATAACATGTATGTCACACTTTCAAAAACTTAAGCATAAAATTCAAATCTAATATATATACAATCTGGAGTTTAAAAATGTAAACAGTGCTATGTATATGTATCTTAAAATTTAAAATGGTATGAACCATGTATATAGTACTTATCTAAAATCAAGTAAAGGCTATGAAAGAGAATGCCTCAACTAGTTTATTATGCTTTAGCTAGATTAGAAAGAAGCAAAACCAGTTAACTCTGGTCGTAAAATATCAGAAATTCAGCATATTTCCTTCTCCAAACAGAGTCTTATGCATAATTTACCACATCTTAATCTCACAGCAAAATGACGAGCTAAATCACCAAGATATATTAAGGCAATTGGGTGGTGGAAGACAAATAGTTTATTGATCACGTAAAAGCAACATCCACCTATGTACAACCACAATCCCTAGATAAAATCCTACATACCACAGAAAGGTTTTTGTATAAATAATCACTTCCATGTTCTTTTTTTTTTTGTTTTTGTTTTCTTGCTTTTTGGTGAGGCAATCAGGGTTAAGTGACTTGCCCAGGGTCACCCAGCTAGTAAGTGTCAAGTGTCTGAGGCTAGATTTGAACTCAGGTCCTCCTGACTCCAAGGCCAGAGCTCTATCCACTGTGCCACCTAGGTGCCCCCATGTTCTAAAATAACATCACTTTATGTTATAATAGAAAGAATGCTGGACTTGGAGTCAAGAGACCTTGGTTTGAATTCCAGCTCTAACTCATCTCTTGTAAATTGTGTGACCATAGACAAGTCATCTAATCCATCTAGGCCTCCATTTCTCTGTGTGTAAAATGGGGATGATATTTGTTTTTACTATTTTATAGGGATAGGGTGAAGGAAGTGTTTTGTAAAGTTTAAAGCACTAAATGTAAATTATTATTACTGACAATTACAAGGAATTCTCACTATGAATGTAAAATAATACTTTCAAAAATCCTTGCGTCATTTTTGGACACATTTTATACTGGCACAAGACACTAACCAGCTAGTTTCCAAACAAATTCTCCACAAGGTATAGGTTCAGAAAATAATCAAGGGGCAGCTAGGTGGCACAGTGAATAAAGCACTGGCCCTGAAGTCAGGAGTACCTGAGGTCAAATCCAGCCTGAGACCAAACACTTGACGCTTATTAGCTGTGTGACCCTGGGCAAGTCACTTAACCCCAACTGCCTTTAAAAAAAAATAAAAGTATGACTATAGCTTTGAGTAGGTTACTTTCTCCTTTTATAATTTGCCAACAATCATGTTATACTGAAAGTAAAGTAATACATCTACTAACAAAAGATATATTCCAGTAACATTCTTCACATACTATAGCTGGACAGGACCTCAGAGATCAGTTGGCCCAATATCTTCTTTTATAGATTGAGAAAACTAGAGAGGTAAAGCGATTTGCTTAAGGCCATACAGCAAGTCAGTGACAATGTCAGAATTAGACCCTGGTCTCCTGACACTCCAAACATCCTTTTCATGATCAATTCCATATTTTGCCAGGAACTTCATCCCTATAGATAGGAATTATATAGGAAATATAGGATGTCAAATGTGGTAAAATTATATCACTGGAAAAAATATACATGGAGAATCTTGGGGCAGAAGGGATAATGGACAAAAATTAGGAAAAAGGCATAGGAAAACCCTGTATTCAGGCAAAGAAAGGGACTGGAGGCATAACAAGGTCTCAAGAGAGAATGATTTGCTAAAACAATGCTATGACCAGAGAAGATTCCTGATCCTATGTGACAAAGGACACTGGTTTCCCTACCAATGAACAGCAACTAGAAATTAAATAGACCTAGGAGCAGCTTCAGCTGAAGTCTTGGTTTCTTTTTCCCAGAGGAATAGGAGCCATCTGGTGGAGAGAAAAAAGAACCAGTTTCCTCCAAATTTCCTCACCTATTAAGAGTCAAAGAGTGTTGCTGGAAGGGATCTTAGACATTATTTGTCCAATATCTATCCAAACCTTTTGACAAAAGGCTTACAATGAAAATGGTATTTTAAATAGCACAGGAAAACTCAAGCACTAAAAATATTAGTGAAAGAATCACAATACTACAACTGGAACAGAGCTTAGAAATCCTCTTGTTCTAACCTCTTCCTTTTACAGATGAGAAAACTGGTAAAGACTTGACAAAGAATTGAGAAAATGAACCTCTCTCCCTTCTTTGCAGGGATGAAGGACTACGGATGTGGAATAATTCATACCCAGACTCAGCTGATATGCTGGTTGGTTTTAATGAACAGCTTTTTCCCCTTTTCATCTTTTTTTTTTCCATTCTCTGTTACAAAGGATGGCTTGCTAGGTGGTATAAAAACGAAAGATATCAATGAAAAAATATTTAAAAGAAAATAAATGGACTGGAGCTTAGGAATCATTTTATTAAACTGAGATTTTTAGCAATTGTATTTTCTGACTTTCAGCAAAGAGGATATAAAGATTATTCTATTAAAAATACTTTAGCTAATATAATATGGGTTGAGGGTCAGCCTAGTAGAGTGGATAGTTTTGGACTTGAGATCAGAAGACCTGGGTTTGATTTTTGGCTCTGACACTTATTAGCTTTTAACTGATATAAGCCACTCAACCTCTGATTCTTTTTCCTCATCGTAAAATGAGGGTTCATTTCACCCTGGAAGCACTTATTAAACATCTACTATGCTCCAAGTGGAGAAACATTATGTCACAGTGAACAGAGAGCTGCCTTGGAGTCAGAAGACATGGGTTCAAGCACCACTTCTGACATTTGGCTGTGTGACTGTAGGCAAGTGTCTTAATTTCTCAGTGCCTTACAAATCACAGAATAGTTGCCCATTTACATTAGCATATCTTTACTAGAAGTTTCCTACATTAATTAAATAAGTCCCTACCAAGAAAAGAACAAAAATAAAAACCCCAAACTCCTGCTATCTGCTGGGGATACAAAGACAAAAATGAAACAATCCCTGTCTTCAAGGAATGAGTATTATTAAATAATAAAGTTAATTCTCCCTAACTCATGGGGTAGTTGTGTGTGTGGAGTGTTAAATGTCTATTATTAATTATTATAATTCATATAATCACCAATAAGTATTTCTTTTAATGATATATTTTACTTCAATTTCATTTTTCCAAGCTCCCTCTCTCACACACCGTCCTCCAGAAAGTCACTTCCAAATAACTGGAAATAAAGTACAGTCTTTTCTTCCCATCTTTACCACAGTAATATACAAATTTCACCCTCCTCCCCACCAAAAACAAAAATGACTTGTGCTTATGCATGAGGAAAATATTTAAAGTACAAAGGACCTATTCTACTCAAGTAAATATAACTTCCTGGAGTCCAATTGTATCTTACATTTCTTTTGCATTTCAGGCCTCCCCACATTAGTATAATACAGTACTATTTAATATGTACAACAGAAGGCACTCATTAAATGTTTCCCTAATATAAAAGTATCCATGGATCATGAGACCTAGGGTCCTGTTTCAGCTAGATCTGCCTAACTGAATGACCTTGGAGAAGTCACCTAGTCATTCTGTTGGTTTTCTTACCCAAATAAAGAAACCTGAATGAGAGAGAGTAAACGAGTGGCAGTTGTAGGGTTCAAATGAGCACAGACTTATGTCCTGTCCTTTGTAGTCCTAGTTTTACAAATGTACCACATATCTCTTGAGGAAAGTATGGAGCTCTGGATAATGCTATCAAATGTAAATATTTACTAATCCAACTATTCCCTGATTGCTCTGCCTTCAATTTTCAATACTTTAACGAGTCACGATTTGTTTACTACTCCCTTGACCAAGGCAGACTTCAAGGAACCCTCTCTAACTAGTCTTCAAGACAAGTTTGTCTTGCTTTTCAAGTTGTCTTGAAGAGTTGCTTTGGCTGACATTAATGATTTGTCTTTGATGTGGGCCAAGAGAACAAACTCTTAAAGCACCTGATAAGGAGCTTATATTCAGCTAGCACAGCCTCTGAGTACCCACTGTAACCTCTACGATACAATGAGAGATCAGAGGATTTTAGGGAAATAACTGCTCCTTCTATCCCTTACAAACTGCCCCGAGGCCATCGTGCCAGGGCATTTCCAACTAGGGACCTGGTTATCTACTGACTTCCAAGCCAGTCTTCAAGAGTTCAATAGTTGACTTAGTCTTCCTCTCCACTCCAACTTCTGCCCTTATATTTGAGGGCTTCCGTTTATATATTGATGAAGTCTCAAATGCCCCTAATCTCATTATCACCCACCTTCACAATCTGTAACTCTCAGATTGTCCTATCTGACCACAACCTCTTATGAATCGTCCTTCCCCTCTTCTTTACCCCTTCTAAACCTCTTAACTTTATTGCTGCTCAATCCTTTCTAAACCCCAACCCTGAATTACTTCCACTCCTCCAATCCAAGTACTACAAGGAATTTACAACCCTGATGAATGGGTCTACTACAATCTGATGTTAGCTAATCTAAACTGAAATCTCTTAGCCATATACCAATTCTTTTACTCTTCCCTGTCTGACAGGCTTTCAACCCTCCTCACATGGTCCCCATTCCCATATCCAATCAGTTTGTCAATCCTTTTTCTTTCTACCTTTTAAGCCTCCTGTTCCCATCTTCTCTCTACTTAAAACATACCATAACAATTCAGGCCTTCATCTGTCACCAGGATAATTGCAATAACTTCCTAGTTGGTTCCAGTGCATTTAAACTTTCCCCATCTACTACATCCACTACATCCTGCACACAGATGCCAAACTAAACCATGTGCCTGACCATGTCACTATCTCTATTCAAGAAGCTTCAAGGGCTCTCTACTACCCCTAGGGAGAAAAAAAAAACCTCTCTAGCACTTAATGACTTTCACAATCTGGTTCCCTGAACAAAACATTCTATCTTCCAACTTTATTGCCCCTGCACAGACTGTCTCCTATGTCTACAATGAGCTCTCTCTTTCTCTTACTTTTGCCTCTTGGAAACCCAGCTCCCTTCAAGTCTCTACTCGTGTTACTTCCCACAAGAGACATTTCCTGATTTCCCTAATTATTAGTGCTTCACATCCTGCACCCTCTCCCCCACTAAATTATTCTGTATATGTTTTATATTTATCTGTATACACGCTGCTTCCCCAAGTAAAATGCATGAACCTTGTGGGCAGGGGTCATTTCTTTTCTTTTTTTTTTTTTTTGGTGAGGCACTTGAGGTTAAGTGACTTGCCCAAGTCACACACTAAGTGTCAAGTGTCTGAGGCCAGAGAGCTCTATCCACTGCATCACCTAGCTGTCCCCTTTCTTTTCTTGATCTTTGTTTCCCAAGTGCTTAATATATAGTAGGAACCTAATCAGTGCTTGCTGAATTGAACCAAAATGAGCTGACCCCACCTCACTTCCATACTAACTTGTACTTTCCAATATTAGTTATTTTGCTGGATTTTATTCAGGAGTTTGCTCAGACTCCATGTCTGGAAGACATTCCCTTAACATCTGAACTCCCATTTTTCGAAGAACTTAAGGAGAACACGAATATCCTCTGTGACACGGCTGATTATTCCCCTACCTCAAAGTAACTTCGTTCTCAATTAAATTTTTTTGGCTCTATATTTCTCCTTTTGCACTTATCATATTTTTCCTTATGGCACACTTAATTATGCAAGGTCTCATCTTGTCCTATTAAATTATAAGTGCAGCACGTTGATTCTTCATCAAGCTAGATGCCTGAGTTCAAATCCTGCGTTAGCCACTTATTAGCCATGTGAAATCCTAGGCAAATCACTTAATCTCTCTAAGACTCAGTGTCCTCATTTTTAAAGTGAAGATAATCACAGCACCTACAGAACAGGGTTGTTTCAAGACTCAAATGAAATAACTAACACATGTAAAGCGCTTAGCAAACCTTAAGGCTCTATATAAATGCTAGCGATTATTACCATTGTATCCCCAGGTACATAGTAGGCACTTAATACATCTTTGCTGAGTTGCAGAACTAAATTTCTTTGACTCCAACAAAACTTAAGCTCCCAAAGGGCAAGCATCCCACTTCCTTCTCATTCCCGCCCTCACCCCAAGAGCCCCATAATGAAAGACTGTGCTCACGGAGCTACCACCCAGACCGGATCAGACCCCTTCCCGAAAGGATGCGTGCCTGGGGACATTTTTTGTTGGGGGAGGGGGAAGGAAATCGAGGAAAAGGTTACACTTTTTTATTTGGGGTGGGGGAACAGGACACGGGAAGACTTGCTGTCCAAGGTTGGGTGGGATCATTCTTGGATTGGGGCTAAGGGTTCGAATTCTGACCCTGCTGCTTATTAGCTATGTGACCTTGGGCAAGTCCTCTTTGGGCCTCAGTTTCTTCATCTGTAAAACAAGGGGCCTGGTTGGTCCAGATCACAGGTGCTCTTTACGGCTGTTCCTGGTTCCACGTCCTAGGGCCTCACACTCTCCAAGGGCTGTGGAAGGTCACCAGCCCCCTCTCGCTCCTTGCCCCGGGGTGACGAGCCCCACCAGGATCTCTACCTCTCCCTCCCCCACTCCCGCACCCTGGGGAAACTGAGGCTCTGCAAGCAGGCGGCAGCGTGGGGAGGGCTCAGGGTCGGCTTGCCTGTCGCGGGGCGGTGAGGGTCCCGTCGACGTCGAAGAGGCAGAGAACAGGGGCCGGGGCCGCCATCCTAACACCTCAGGTCACAAGCGCGACGGGACACGCTGTCACTTGAAGCTTCCCGGATTTGCCTCATGAGCCGCGGGGCACGCCGGGAAGGTGAAAGACGAGTGGCTGCCAAGTCAACAGCCCCAAACCCTTTCTAGAACCCACGATGAATTACGGAACTACAACTCCCAGAATGCAACGCCCCAAACATGTCCCTGAGCTATGACCTCTAGGGGTCAGGACACGTACACGCCAGAACACCAAGTAGTTCCGGAGGACGGGCCAGGTTCGCTTCCGGAAGCGGGCGGCGGTACCATGGTGAGCACCTGGGTTTCCTCGTATAGGGCAGTGGGAGCTGTCGGGGTGCCGGAGATGAGCCTTCTGGTAGATCCATTAGCTGGGAGTCCGAACCTAGCTTTTTCATCAGCGATGGGCGAGAAGAAACTCCTCTCCCGTCTTGGGGCGAGGGGGGAAGCTTACTTGGGGTCCTTCGGGCCTAAGGCACCTGGTCACCACGGAAGATCGTGATGTCTATTCAATTGAGTAAATTCAGTAAGCATTTATTAAGCACCTACTTTGTGCCAGGTAGTGTTGCGCTAAGCGCTGGGGATACAAAAAGAGGTCAAAGACGGTTCTCGTTCTCAAGGAGCTCACGGTCTAATGGGAGAAACAACGTACAAACAGATATATACAAGGCAAGATAGTACAGGATAAATAGGAAATAATTAAAAGAGGGAAAGCGCTGAAATTAAGAGGGGCTAGGGAAGGCTTCCTGCAGTGCCTGGCCTCTGAGCCTGGCGATGGGACTCCTCCTCCACTCACCTTCCCATTCGAGGTCTTTAGACAGTGAGACCCCTGCCCCCTTTTTAATCCCATACTGGGACATCATGCCCCCGGCGTCCCGAAGGCCCCCATGATTCTTCGTGCTGCTGAATCACCCTGAAGGCCCTAGATGTTCCTTCCCTGGGCTGTTCTTTTACCTCCTCCCCTCCCCACTACTCCTTCCCTCCCATCCCCCCAGGGGCCAGAATATCATTTCGGCCACCTGTTAAACTATCTTGGTTCCTTTCACTAGTAAACTCTATCCTACCTTTTCTGGATTTATGATGTTGCTGCCCTTCATGCACTGTACGTTGCAGCCAAACTGGCCTTCATGCTGTTCCTGGAACGATGACCTCTGCGTAGCCTACCCTCTCTTCACCTGATGCCTGATAACACTCTTCCTTCCTCACCTCGCCCTGTTTTAGAATCCTTAGCTTCCTTCAGGGATCATTTCAGATGTCATCTTCTACGGGAAGTCTTTCCTAATTCGAATAATCCCTTCCACCCCACTTATTAATGTCTTCCACATCAAATCAGTCAGCAAGCATTTACAGCTATGCACTAGATAAAGAAAGCCCCCCCCCAATAATCCGTGCTCTCAAAGAGTGGGAAGCAAACAGGGGAAACAAAATGCATACAACTGTGTATAAACAAGTTATACACGGAATAAATTGGAAATAATCAACAGAGGAAAAGCACTGGAATTAAGGATTGGGAAAAGCTTCCTGTAAAAGGGGGGATTTTAGCTAGTACTTAAAGGAAGCTAGGCAGTCCAGGAGACATAGACAAGGAAGGAAGGAATTTCTAGTGTTTTGTTTGAGGAAAGTATGGAGACTAGTGTCACTGGATCACAGACTAGTAGGAAGCCAAGTTTGGAAGTGATGAGGTTAGACCTGGGCTTTAGAAAGATCACTTTGATACATGAGGGGAAGATGGACTGGAGTGGGGAGAGACTTGAGGCAGGGAGACCAACTAGCAGCCTATTGCAGTAGTCTCAGTGTGATGTGATAAGAACCTTTAGCAGAGTGTTGACCTTGTCAGAGTCAATAATGGGGCAAATGTGAGAGTTGTTGGCAAGGTAGAATCAACAGGACTTGACAACTTATTGGGTATGGGAGGTAAGAGTGAGGAGCTGAGGATAACATCTAGGTTGTGAGCCTGGGAGATTTGTGTTATCTGTATTATTAGTAGTCTTTATATTTATTTACGTGTATATATGTTATATATACCTGAGGGCAAGGACTCAACTTCCCTTTACTTTATATTGGGATTTGTGAGAGAAAGTGGTTTTTTTTTTTCCCCTTCCAGGTTACCATCTTCAAAGCTGGTTTCCCAATCCGTTGGGTGGTGATGTTACAATCTTGGCCTTGGTTTCGCAAGATGCAAGTTCCCAGTTTGTATGTGGGCAGGCCTATCTCCATATCTCCTGATAAACCATCAACCATGGAGGCTGAAAAATTCCAGATGATTTATCGGTTTCCAGGCATCAGATTCTGTGGGTCACTTTCTCGGGTGAAGATTCTACAGACAGGGATTACTATGGCAATATTGCCACCTGGCTATTATTGTTACATGCAGGGCCTCATTCCCCTGGACTGCCTATTTTTCACAGGAGGTGTTGCTAGCTTTGCCCTAGCCATGTTGTACTGGATTAGTCATTTCTTTCGTCGGCTTGTTGGGATCCTTTATGTGAATGAGGCCGGCACTGTGTTGCGGGTGGCACACCTGACCTTCTGGGGCAGGCGTCAAGACACATATTGCCCAGTGGCCAACATAATTCCTGTGTCTGAGACCAGTGAACATCCCTTTGGTGTGTTCTTGAAGATCCGACAGTATGATGGTGATCAGACCTTCTACTTAACACTTCGTTTTGGACACATCCTGGATAAGAAATGCTTTGTGCAAGTGTTTGGGAATCTTGATGGAAAGCATTGATGGTTTGGCAAAAAAAAACTCCTGGACCTTAGGGGAATGTGCTTTCGCTGGAGCTTTGGATGGTAGCCTCAAGTGTACCTGTGCTGTACCTGTGCCAAGCATATCTCCCAGGGCTTAAACTACAGAGAGAGGTCTTCTATGTGCCAGGAACTTGTCTTTCAGAGTCAGGAGATAAATAAACTGGAAGCAGATCTAAGTTTCTGGCAAAACAAGTGCTGAACAGACTCTGAAAAGGAATACCCAGTGGAACCATGAAACTGATTTTGTGGTACAGTGGGAATTGATTTTCCGCTGGCGTACTTTTTCTGGAAAAAGGCAGTTTGATTTTCTGGAGAGAAAATTGTCAGGACATAGTGAATCCTTGTCCTACAGTTGACTGATCAGAATGGCCATGATGGCATGTGAATGACATTCAGTCTATCAAAAAGAAAGTATTACTCTGCTGATATTCAGTAGGTGCTTGAGGAAGACGTGACTAGTATAAAACATGGCTGTTTTCATCCCCCTCAGAAAGGCAGCTTTGTGTACTCCTCAGAAACAGTATGGAAATCAGAGGTTAGCATAACATCACAATTGTGATTTTTTTTTTACCTTTCAGAGATTTAAATAATCATTCATTGTTAATATTACAGTCTAATAAAAATAGTTTTGGGAGTTGAGTCATTTGTTCATGTATTTCTGTTTTTTTACAGAGCTTCAGCAGGGCAGCATGACTCATTGGGTGATGCTGCAGGTATCTTGGTAGGAAGAGGGATAAACTGTCACTGGCTGCCAAGTGGTTTTAATGAAGGTCTTCAGCAGGTGCTGTCTACCTCAGGCTCATGTTTTGGGGATAGGGGAGAGTTGTAGTAACTTGATTTATGGTCAAAAGAATTAAAAGGGGTCCTTTGCAAGCACTATTTCAAGCAAACAGTGAGATGGATCAGCCTGTAAAACCTGAAAGCAGCATTTCAAGTGACCTTAAATTATTCCAGTTACTTGCATAACCATGACACAAAAAGGGACTTTACCTCATTGATGAATTTGCTCCATGTCAAAAAGATGGGAGGGGAGGCAAAAGAATAATAAAAGTCATTCAAGGAAAGAGTAAGTATGGGGGGGAGAACTTGAAAAAAGAATTTATAGTTTATAAGGACAAAGGAAAATTATTTCCCCTCCATCTTATTCATTTTATATTGATAAATATAAATGAAAGGTCATAAGTTTACCTGTAAGTTTCAGCAGTTAGCTCTTAACATTCTCTTGAGATGGTAGTAACTTTGGCTCATGGCATTTAGAACTATAAGGGATCCCAGGAATAATTTCCGTTAGAAGTGCTTCTTTTCAGAACATATACGTTTATGCAGTGCTTCAGATATGAAGTTGATATTATTAACTATCGAGGCATGCCAAGTTACTTTTTAGTAGTGGGACATGGTGTAATGACCTTAGAACCGCTTCCTCAGTTTCCTTATTTAAAAATGAAGAAGTTGTAAATGATGGCTTCTAAGATCCTTTCCAGCTCTAAATGTATAATTCTAACAGAAAGATTTGACACTAAATGTTCACTAGACAAATGTACACTAGCAGTCAGGAGACCTGGATTCTAGTCTGGGCTCTGCCACTAAGGAATTGTGTAAACTAGAAGAGTTCCCAAGTTCTTTTGAGCTCTGATATTGAGGTTCATGTACCACCAGAGGGCTAAAAAAAAAAAGGCAAATTGTTGGTCACCTTAAACTCAACCAGACTTTGTAACAAACAAAACAAAAAAACCAACTGGAAGAAAATTGTGGCTTCTACAACTCAGTTCCCGAAATTGTCCCAATTTATCATCAGCCAGACCTCTAAGATCTAGTCTAACCCCTACCTAAGTCATAAGTCCTATTTAAAATAGCCAACCAATCTGAAAAAAAAGGAAGTGATCAACAGCCTGAGGAATTCTTTTCCAACTAAAAAAATGGTTTGCTTTTTAAGTCATTAAGCCTGCTTTACACATGGACTAGAAAACAGCAAGGAAAAGCAAATTAACTCTGTGGTGTATTAGCAACTGTCCTTTGTATAATGGGATGTATCCCTTTATAACTATTTTCAGAGCACAGGATTAATACTTGGGTTACAGGTGACCATATTACATCAATATATGTAATTTTTCGAATGATTTAGTGCACCTCATTTTGTGTATGGACCTCTACTATCAATGGAGATGGCAGCTTAGAACATTATAGGATTAAAATCAAGAAGAGCTTGGTTTGAATACTTCCTTAAACATTTACTAGATGTGTGACCTGAAGAAGTTACTTAACTTTAGGGCCTTAATTCTTCATCAGTAACATGAGGGAGTTGTATTAGATAGCTTCTATACTCCCTTCTAGCTCTAGATTTTTGATCCTGTAATACTGCCCCAGGTTTGGTCTTTTGCAGGCAAACTTA